TCCCTCCTTGATCATTTAGGGAGAGGCAAAAAAAAAACAAAAAAAAACAAAAAAAACAAGACGACTGACTATATTTTTTTTTCGAGGTCACCAAAGGGGGTGGCTAGCCACCCTATTCACCCCTAGATCCGCCACTGCTACAATACTTACTTGAAATACGGTCTAGCTTTGGATTTCAACTTCAGCATGCTGTCGTATATTATGCCCATGCGACACATAGCGATGGCCTCCAACTCTAGGTTCTTTTCTCGTGTCAAGAGAATGGCTTTCTTGTACCAGTCAAGAACTTCCCACACCATGTCAATGTTGAGATCTTCCTCCGTCGTCAAAATCTTTTTCTTCAGACTGTCTCCTGTTTCCAGGGCCTGTCTGGCCTGTCTCATTAAAGATTAGAGAACATTTTAATATTCGTATTATTAATTAAATAATTTAAAATAAAAATAAAAGTAACTTCATTCTAAGTAATATAGGAAAAGGGCCGGGCGCAGATGCTGCACTTTCACCTGAATATCAAAAATTGGGTACTTTTACAAACTCATAGAGTCATATTTTTTGTACTTATTGCTCGAATGTACAGGTCCTAGGTTTTAATTCTTCTATTTTTTCCAATTGATATGTTATTGTATTCAAAACATCATTGAAAAGTGAATGCATTTTTACCTCAGCCACTGCTGTCAGCATCGTCACTTCTTCAGACATTACACCGACCTCTGATAATATATCCTTGTTACTCCTACCATAGCGTTTGGCTTCCTCCAGAGGCTGATGGCAGTCATATAGAATACTCAGACACTTCCTGTCTTGAAAAAGATCAATTGCTTTTCCGATAAGATGTTCCACATAAAGAATAGAAATATTGGCTTTGAATTCTCCAGCAGGAATAAGTTGACATGCCATTGACAGGATGTCAGTCTTCTCATCAGACATATTTGTTTGGTTATTAACAAAATCAAGACATTCCTGAAGACTTTGATGCATTTTCTGGACCAAACTTTCAGACCAAGATTGCCCAATGTGTGCGTCATTGCCAAACCTCAATGCCCTTGAGAAATATTTCAGCGCGTCTTTGTGGAAGAACACTATCTGGCTTCGCAAATCTTTCTGTTCTTGACCTAGTGACGCTAGCTTCCACGATGTCATTGCAAGGTTTTTGTTGGCTGATGCTGCTTCTTCTGTGGTAGAGCTACATTTCAAGGCATCCGTGTAGCACTGCTTGGCTTGCTCCAGACGGCTTTTTTGCAGCAGTGGGCTAAGTCCAGGAGTAACAGATCTGTAATATCCATTACCACACTGTCGATGTTTTTCCGATTGGGTCAAGACATTCATGATCGTGAATTATCCTGAATAATAAGGACACCATAATTGGTTTATTCGGTTGATTTTTGCTTAAAAATTACGGCGTAGGGATAGGCAGTGCAGCCAGTGCAAGACTCATTACTATTATTAAGGGTCCCATTCATAAATAGGCCGAAAAATAATTTCCAACTTAATATTCTAGACGAATAACCGCAACCGGGCTCCTTAATTATTTAGATTTTTAGAGGAGTAATTAGGCCTACTGTGTTCATTCCGATTTAGTGAGAAACCTAATGTCCAAAAAACAGGTTTGCGAGATAGGCCTGTCCAAAGCAATTTTATTGCATTTTCCGAATATTTTGGGTATGCTGAATCCAAAAATGCAAAGGTCCATTTTTTCCCGAGATTGTCTTAGCGGCCATTTTGGAATTTCAAAATGGCCGCCATTTATACAGTAAAAGTAACCATAACTGCGCTATTAGAGTAGGTATCGACATGATTTTGGTACCAAACCCTATTTTCTCAATGTCAACCTGTCCAATGGTGATTTTCTCACAAACCATAAATGGAAGCCATCTTGAATTTTAAAATGGCTGCCAGTTTGAAAGTAAAATAGCAATAACTGTGCTATTAGAGCAGGTATCAACTTGATTTTGGTAGCAAACCATAGGTTTTCAATGTCAACCTGTCTAATGGTCATATTCTCATGAATCATAAATGGTGGCCATCTTGAATTTCAAAATGGCTGTCATTTTAACAGTAATAAAAAACATAACTGTGTCATTAGAGCAGGTCAACATGATTTAGGTAGCCAAACCCTGTGTTTTCAGTGTCAAGCTGTCGAATGGTGATATAGACATGGATCAAGAATGGTGGCCATTTTGAATTTCGAAATGGCCGAAAAATTTCTAACACAACCTGCCTAGATTTTTGCGAAGTAATGTCAATTATTAATTGCAAAACCCAAGTTTTAATTGCAACCTATCAACAAATTAACCTGTCTAATGGTTGTATTCCATGTGGAATCATACCTTTCTTGGACCATGAAGACAGAAAGACAACACATGTGAAGTACCAAAGAGAAATCCACAAGGGGCTTTGTCATGATTCTGTATGTCAGTGGTCTATCGGAAAAGATCAGATCGAATGAGCACACACAACTTTAATACATGATTCAGACATCAAAACAAGTTGAGAGAACTAGTGCATCCGAAAAACAAGATTCTATGAGAAAACACTCACCTTAGAGTTATTATGTGGTCATTGCGAACATAGTAAAAGGTTTGACCGCTTAGTTGAACATGAAATGAGGTTGAAAAACATAAATAAAGGGGTACGAACTAGAGCCAACATGGGTTCGTC